TAAATCTATATATGTCTGAGGTTGATTTAAACTGAATGACTTAGCCATGCATAGTTTACAGTTTATGAAGTTTGCGAAAAGTCACTGCAGCACCGATACCAAATCATTTTGTGGCGAACCAAAGTGTAAAGGTTTTTATACATTTTAACAGCTGTTTGTATTACATTTGACATCCAGGCATTACATCTGCCTACCGTTTCTCATTTTACAAATCTCAGTATACTATGCATGTACGTCATATTTGCCATTTGTTAATTTTCAGGTGAGTAACGTTACTGTCGTGTGAAATTTTAAAATATGTTTTGCAAATTGATCTACACTTAGAATGCCAAACATTTGCTATTCACAGTTTATTTTGATACTTTCCAACAAACAGTAAACTGCAAAAATTAAATCAAATACAATCACGAACAAGAAAATAAAGAAAACATAGTGCTAACCCCATTTTCTATTTTGCTAACACATACTTTTATTTATTCCGACTCATTTAAGTAAACCACAATACCATCAACGAAATAACCAATTGTCTTAATCGATTACACTAACAATACAATGGTTTCAAATCTATACAGAATACCTAATATGAAACAGCCGGTGTAAACGCTGTCAGTCTCCATACCTTTCCATTAGTCCTCCGTTTATATTTAATATATGCTTATTTGCACAAAACCCTTATTCTATTCTTATTCCTTTATGCACAGACATAAACTCCGAACTGCGAACTTGAGATTAAAGATGGTTAAAGATGTATTAAATGATAGTAATATATAATTTACGCGCCTTTGTTTGTTATGTTTATGACTAAATTTATCCGCAGCACGTGATGTTCTTTATCTATAAAAACAAAAACAAAAACTTGTATGCATCAAAATGTAAAAATCTCTTTATAAATCTCTATTTTCCTAAGATAACCATCCAATAAGAATCAAACTTATATCCATTAAATTTCGATGCAATTTAATTAATATAAAGTGAAAAAAAAACAACAAAGCAACTATCCCTACCACTCACTATTTATAATCGTCTTGCAGTTCCGGCTTTTTAGCTTTGTTGTAAGCCAAGTAACCAGACCTCAAGAAGGGGATGATACTTGCTTAAAAAAAAAAAAAAAAAAAAAAAAAAAAAAAAAAAAAGGCCTGTATAAACACAGCCCTAATCTTTCTTGACAAGGGAATAATTCACTAAATTATATAAATGCGGCTCTTTTGTATCTTAATAGTTCCTTATGGCCATGATTATCACAAGTATTACTAGCAATACTCGTGATGCACCCCACGCCTGTATTCTGGAGTGCCTCCTCAGTCAATTTAACCTGGTGACACCCATTAGTTTCATTTTGATTATTAGTAATAATTTGCTGCCCATATAGAAATTCAATAGTAACTGCATTCATGTATTATCTTATCCTTATAATCTAGATTAAGGTTTTCTTGTCACATGTTCATTGTATTAATCATATCAAATGCCTTTATTTTTAGAATATTTCGCGTATAATTAAGTGGTAAAAACTGCATGGATCTTACAGTAGTGATTATACGAGTTTCAAGTCAGTTACCGCAGTCGCAGCTGGTGAAAGGAGAGGAGCATAGTCAGGCTCCTTTCTTATTTTGAGGCTTCTCTGTGTAATAGATATCTAGGGGAAAAAACACGTTGGTGCCTATCTCATCTATCCTTTGATGCTGTGCCCGTCACCTCTTCTCACATGTACACCTGTAGTACGATTGTCCTGCGATGGAATGATCTAGGATTTATATTTCCGGTCATTATCTTCTTCCTTCGTGATATCAGATAGTATTGCAAATTGGATAGAGCATTTACTTCGTCTTATCTATTCTTGGCTTGTTCAGAGTAAGACCTGAAGTTAGGCCAGAGTAATGCGGTCGCCTTGAGTGTCGTCGGATGGTTTCCTGTCTTCCTCGAGGCCTTTTTATCTCCCAGGCCTTCAGTAATGTCAGTTCGCGCCTGTTTATTTTGATATTTACCCTACACTGATTATGAGCTTCCTGATATACTTTTGAACCAGATTTAATTTTCAAAATAACTCCTTGACAGAACAGACTTAGTCTTAACTTTAGCAGCTAGTGCATTTCATAGCTGGTCTGTGTTTCTGCATGAGAAATTTAAATATTTCATAACGATTCATATCAACACATTATTCACATCATTAATACTGAATATCTTCCGACTCATTGTTGTTATTATACCCATCGAGAGCAGTGTGTGTGAGTGTATGTGTATATGTATATGTAAGTGTATTTCTTTTAACCTATGATTTTTAGGCCATATTAAAGGACCGATTAGTATCCAGTGTTGTCATATTTGTTTTCTTACATTATCTACTGTTCTAACGAGTATTGAAAATCATTAGGAATAATACTGATGCATTCCTTTCCATAAAATCAAACTAAGTTTGTAATTGGTTCTCTTGGAACATGATAAACGAGCGATTCTGTAATCTGCGACACCTATCGCTAGCCCAAAGTGAGAGTGGTTACCAGAAGTCCTGTTGAAAAAAAAGCTTAAAAGGACAATACATTACTGCATTTTCAAAAGAAATGATAAACTAGCCTGTCAGGAAGCAGAACAATGGACATAGATTTTAATGTGCTTGGAATGACTTGTGTCTTTCTTAGTCTAAAAATGTATTTAACACATTCACAGGCGAAATTTGACATATCAAGCTGAAGGAAATGTACCCGTCGTTTGATGCTTTCGAGGCAACACATTATTTAGACATTGCACATACTCCAAAGAAATTAACTTATTTACAAGCCTTTTAGAAAACTGTCTATTACCTGGTTTACTAACAATTAGAGTGAAAACGTTATGGAATGCAGTATCTACATAAAACACAAGTGAAATCAGCGCATCTTAAGAATCAAATATTTCCACATATCAAATGTTTTTTTATCCACAGATCTGCTTTCTTTTTCAAATCAAATGTAAAACATACAACTGACAACCAACATACAAAATACTGGAATTACCAACAATCAGATTTCAAAAGTGATAGCCAGCGGAATTCTCCGGAGATCCGCTGTGGCACAATTCGGTGAATCTACAGCTGAATCAGTTATTAAGTAATATTCGTGAATTGTTACCATTGCTCTAGTGCTAAATATGACCCTCGGATTTCTCATCCTCGCCGAGTTGTTAGTTGCGGCAATAGGTCAATAAATAAATTTAAAAAAAACTATTAAGGGTAACCTGACTGGCTGAGAGTTACAGCGAGGTCATTGGCAACATTTTGCGTCATCTTTATGTTTTCCTTTACATCTTGTTTACGTTTTGCTCGGATGTTGCCAAATGTAATGCGGATAATTGTTCGTACGTACCGCAAGAAACAGAAGTTCACATGAAATTACAATTTTTACTAATTCAAAATATTCTAACTTTATCTATATTAGTATATAAAGAAATTTATGAATTAACTACATACAATACTTCAGATTAGATGAACTGTACTGACATCTGAAAACAACTAACAAACCAAGTGGCCAGTCCGGAAGTTCGAGTGATAACATAAAGAACTGTAGTATAATGTTGTATCTTCATTATTATAGTAAAGTATACAAGTTATTACATGTTATTTGAGGAAAAAATATTTGTTTGAAACCGTTCATAACAGCCAAATTTAAGCAATACTTTCAAGTGTTCATCATTGTATAGATATATATATTTTTTTTTAATTAGGAACTTACATATGCACATTTATAAAGTTTATGATTCATTAAAGCTTATAGATACTATATTCATATCTGGATCTCTCGATCCTCCATTAAATGAAAGCACATGAGAAAATATCAAATCTAAAACTTACACCTGGGCATTGGCTAATGATAGTCCTAATAATTAAATCGCCCTTTCTCCCACCTATACAAGAGCAGTCTTCTATTTGCTCATTCAGACATCTAACTACATAAACTATACTGACAATTATCAGGAAACAAAAATAAATATTGTCAAGAGATATCAAATAAAAATTACAAATTTATATTACATATTTATGCTTAAACAGTGAGTGATGGATTTTGTAAACTAATTTTACAACTAAATCATATTTTAATGTATACAGTAATGACTATTTCTGGTCATAGAATTATTAAATCATTATTTTATTGTCCCTTTCTATAAATACAGATAGTCCCCTACTTAAGAACATTCTACTTATGAATATTCCAAATTTTTTAAGTACTAAAGTCCAAAAAATTGTTTGAAAGATGCTAGCAAACTTCAAATTTCCCGGGCACGAATATAGTTCAAGAGTCTGGTACTGTATAAGGTATGTTGTACTTATTGGGATTTATTTACAGGTATTCTTAATGTAAACAAAACTTTAAAACAATGGGAAAAAAGGTAATGGAGACCCGACTTTCAACATACAAACAAATCAACTTATAAACAGCCTCTCAGTCCCCATTATGTTCTTAAGTTGGGGACTTACTGTATATAATAGCAAATATTTCTCATTAGCAGCATTTGTTTCCTTACACATTATAATGTGTTTTTAATGTTATTCCCAATTCGCTGTTTAATTGTTAAATCGTTATTCACACTGAACTAATGCATTAAAATATATCCATTGAGATAAGAATTTTAATCCCAGAATAATTTGAAGGTAATTCATGTAAATGTAGTAATATTTTTATACAGATGTAATGTGTAATCAATGCTCTCTTACACAAAAAGATTCTGGATGGTCTCTACATTATATAATCTGAATAAGCAAGGAAAAATATTTTTTCAAGAAACAATTAACTTCAATCAATTGTTTGCATAGATTTTTCTTCTTAGTTCTGTTTACATCTGAACTATCAAACAAAGATTAAAAGGAAATTCATGTCAGCAAAAACTGCAAAACCTAAAAAAAAAAAAACAAGGTAAAAAAACAAAATCATTTTCAGCTTTCACAGATATTACATTCAAAAGCATCCACCTCTAAATATTTTCATATTGACACCACTCTTATCATTCCTCTTATTTAAACAAAAACAATAATA